CAGTTTTCTCCCAATAAGTTAATATACAGCCTATTACAATATACATTTCAACATTTAATGTTGTAAATAAACATGTAAAAGAAAAAAACATTCAATAAATGCCTGAAACTTTGAATAAGTGCCTGAATAAATCCTAAATTGTAACCCTAACCCTGGGTTGTCAGTGCGCATGTGTAGGCGAACTGTGTATGTGTGTAGTGGCAGGAACAGTTGCTTAAGAGACGGAACCCCAGCTTCACTGGTGTTGTGCCAAGTTGTCCGCACTTTCGGATAATTTATCATCGTTGATGAACCATACCAAGAATATTTTATCGTTTTTAAACAGCCGGCGACTTTAAATAGACCCGCGAGGAACCGCGACGTGCACGCAGTTGTCGGCAGCAAGACTGGTGAATGGCAGGTGAGAGAGAGAGAAAAAACAGTCAACAATCAGCGTCAGTTTAGCTTCATTTAGCAATCGCCACGCACATAAACACACGATTCGACTATCAGTCGACTGTAGGCAGTAGCCCTAGTAACTAGTAGTGTAACTAGTTACTTTCAACAGTGAGTAATCTAGTAAAGTAAGGCATTACTTTAAAAAAGTAACTAGCAATGTGTAATCCATTAACTTTTTGGAGTAACTACCCCAACACTGGTTGTGTGTAGAGGATAGGGACACCAGGCAGAGCGGGGGGATAGAGCCACAGCTCGCCGACAAATAGCTGCTTGGCTATGGGGACCTCTGAAGTGAAAGAACCGCGGGCAGCGCCGGAGCTTTGGACAAAGAAACACCTACAGTCAGACTGGTATCTGCTCTGGTAACGGAGCCCTTTAACGGCAGGAGGGTCTCAGAGTTGATTGCTTTTATTAAATTAACTTTTACTTACTTGTATTTCTTGGGATTAAAACATAGATTTATCTTCACTTGCGCCTCTCAGCAGCCAGCTAATGTGTTTCCAGACCCTAGCCCTGATCGATTCCATTCGGAAAACATGCATTTTAAAAGCTGTAAGCTTGTCATCATGCTGACAGACTTAGCAAAGCATGACTTAATATTTTTAATAAATCGGCATCATTATGTAGTTATTTCAGCAACAGCTTGATCCGTTTATTGCAACTTTATCACAGCAAAATGGGTTTTTTTTGGCTTCATGCAGCTGTAGCAAAGGCGGGTTGTGTTTTTATTAACATAATGCAGAACCCCTGCTAATTAACATGTCTCAAAATGGTGATACCTCATGTATGCGCTAAATGTTAAGTTAACACAACACTTACTTCATTTCTTGAACATATAAATGACATCACCATCTTTCCAAAGTGCTTTTGTTGCCTAAATGTAACCACAGACAGGCCTCAGGATGTAAGCTCCATATAGTGTCCACCATTCACTCCAACCAAGTCCCTAAATTTATGTGTGGTACATAAACCAGTACACTAACCATAACTGACAAAACAAGAGAATTTTAATATAATTTCTAGGAGACAGGTGCTCGTTATAAATAGACGCCTTCATGGTTTGGAAAGAAACCATTTTATCATGTATCGCAGTTTATGACATGAAGCCCGTAATGGACCGGGCTGAGATGTAACTGAAAAAAAGCTGGGGTGGGTCATTTATATCAGAAGCATTATTTTGTAATATTTGTTGAAATTCTCCTTCAAAATTAGCAATCAGTAAATCAAATGCTGTGACACACACAAAAAAACAAATCCAGTATCTGTGGCTGTGGCAGGACTGTAATAAGCAGAGCCAATAATTTATTTCTGTCCGAATGAAATGATTGGCTGCCCTACCTACACGGCTACCTACCTGCACACACTCTGCTGCGCATGTGTTTTGGTGGGAGTGGTTTTGGAGGGACGCCTGTAGGCAGGGGTGGGATTTCTTTAGTTGGATACTTTAAAAGCTAGCTGTCTCTTGCCAGCTGTCTCTTGCCAGTTCTGCCTACCCCAGCTTTAAATAAGCCTTAATTCAGTGTTCCCCTACATTGTTGTTTTAAGTCACAAAAAGCTGGATTTCATTTAATTTAGTGGAACAAGTCAACTTGAGAATCTCCATTTTATGAGACTTTTTGTTTTAACTCCATTTTAATTTGTTTTTCCATTTGTACGGTCTTTTTGTTTTACTTTCTTGAATTTACTTTCCTAATTTATGTATTCCTTTACCTCTTCTCCTTCCTTTCATCCTTTCTTTCTTATTGTTTTCTTCCGAGTGGTGGCTGTTTATCTTTCTGTTGTTTTTTTTTAGCATTTAATACATTTACATTACATACATTACATTTATTAGCTCATAGTGGCCAAATATTCTCAAATGCAGATTTAACTAAAACTTGAAATTAGGATTGCAATCTGGTATTTGTGATATTAGAAAATTATTTGATGGTGTAGACCAGAGGACAGAGGGGCTTGTATCATACACAGAACAGGTGTGACACAGAAAAGAAGCAGAAGCAGGGCGTTGTGAAGAGCTGTGCAGCTGAAGATTGCTCATTCTCAGTCCTGCTCTGATTCCCAACATGACCCAAGAGACAGCGTCGTCGGCTGCGTGGCTGCACTATGATGTTTAACACCAGCACAAACTGACCGAGTGATCTCTTTAAAGCTGACCAGGATCTGACCAGACTGTACAAGTCAAAGATCAAATGAAACAAGTTTCACTTTTCATGATCCTCTACAGGAAACTGGATTGCAATGCACTAATCTCAATACAATAAGCAGGTAATTTTGTTTTGGAGAAACCAGTTAGAAATTTATGCACTTTTCCTCTGGCTCAGTACAAAACTATTCTGCTTCACCCCGCCATGGCCTGTCCATTTCCACTTTGCAACCGCTCTGACCAGCAATATTGTTGTATAGAATGTGGGCTAAACATTGACATCCCATCAGCATGTCTGGTCAAGAAGGTGACTAGAGAGAAACCATACTTTTTTAATATGGCTTAGCCTTATTTTTCTAATACTGGTGCAAATGCACATGGTGACTATTGGCAGTAGAGCAATACTAGCACAGTGAAGTGCAAAAGTGAAAGAGAAGATGAATGGATAAGTAGTGGGAGGAATACTGTATCAGAGAAATGTACTGCATTAATGACCTTTTAACTGCATACATTTTGACTTATAATTGCAGGGAAACCACAGATGTAACAACAACATTACAGTGAGCTGTGCCAGGATACATAATACCAGCGTCCTAAAAAATGTGTAAAGCTTAACAGAACGCAGCCATTATTAATTTTATAAAATTACACATGTGCTTTTCCTGCTATGACATAAATGAGCACAGAGCTTAAATGAACCTGATGAGAGACACTGTTGAGACTTTGAGGGGGAAAATGTTAAACTCCATAAAGCACTGCGATGTCGCACAACACAATTAAACACCATTGAAAATATTAATACATTACACCAAATATGCTGAAGATGTTCTTTGTAACCTAAATTTCTGTTTCAGGAAAAACCAAACGTTTCATGTATAATGCTCAAACAGAAGTTTGAATTGGATTTGGATATTTGGATCATCTGGCTGCTCATGTTTTTTGCCAAGCCGGACCTCTTTGTAACGTCATCACATTCCCAGATTCCAGCAATTAACTTGGTGATTCAGTGTTAAAACACTGATATGAAGTACAAGTTGTATAAAACCAAATTTTCACTTCTCACTTTTCATGAGAATTTGAGGAAACAATAAGGTTGAATAAACCTCTTAATCTTGGCGGGTGGGTCCATCTTTACAAAACGTGTGGATAAACATTTTTGAAACTGACTTTAATTTTAAATTCTAGTGGAGGTTACAAAGCTTCCCAAAAAATAAAATACACAAAATACGTTGCTGAAATTTGGAAAAATGTGTGCAAAATTACGCACAGTATTGATTGAATAGTTCATCCATAAAAACATTGTTGAGTTTCCCACTCAGTGTGGAAGTATCATATACCATCAGTGAGCTGCAGAGACAGAATATGCAGTTAATGTTTCATATAATTAAACAAAATTGAAAGATCTATAAAGGAAAGGGGTCAATAGCATTACTCCTTATAATGTTCAGCCTTTTGCATCAGCATTAGATCTCCTTGATGTGACTAAATGAACCTCAGCTCATGCGTGATACTGGGTGTGTTACAAGGTTACCGTGCTGAGACTGGGCCCGATGCCTAATGTCCTTTCCTCCCTCACTTTCTCTCTCCTCTGCTACTCAGGCAGCCAACACAACAAGGCTAATTGGGCCATTTAAATGTCAGCATCACAGAGATCTGAGAGACAGAAAAGCTCTTCCCTTAGACGTGTGCATTTATGCTGCGAATGTTTTTTCCAATGTTTTAGCAGCAACGATCTTAATGACATATTGTGTATATGTTTGTCTCCCACAAGTCAAGCTAATCTAAACAGGATTCTGATGTTTGCCTGATGTGCTGAACCAGATGTGAACTGTAAATTTGAACAAAAAAGAATTGCACACTGTGTTGACTTTTTGGATACCTGCTCAGATATATAAACAGCTCTCACTGATATTCAGCAGGGGGATCTCCCACAGAGAGTCAATGCAAGCATTGATCTCAATTCTGTCTGTTTTTGTTTTTTGCAAAACCATACATATAGCACCGGTTTGGCCTCGAATCAGAATTCAGGGTGGGTGTGCCACTCATTCATCACTCTTTATGAATGAGGCTGCAGCTGAGCATTCAGAAATGTAAACAAATAGTTCAACATGAGCATTATTTTTATCAATCAATCTGCAGCAATCAAACCGGAGCGATATTAGTTACTAAAAACATGCAGCAATAGGTAGACGCACTCTCTACTTACACTTTGTTTAGCCAGACATGAACATTCATCAACATTAAGCATTGACAGGCGCTGAGAGGAAGCCCACTTCTGTCAAACATACAAAGCAGATAACCAAATATAGATGTCTTTTTGCTGCTGCTTTAACCCCCTCAAACTATCTAAACACAAGCAGCAGAGAATATAAAGCAGCAATTGTGATTCAGTGACAGTAGGATGCATTACAAGGTCACTCACAGCTTTTTCCAAAGGCTTGGATTCCATAGATCTTCAGGAATACGAGAGCCAAAATACTGCATCCTAAAATAAGTATAACAAATCCTGATGTCAATGTTATTGTTGGGTAATTGAATTCCTGCAAAAGCCACTGCTGTTATACTGCATTCCTGTACAAATGACATATAAACATAGAAGGAAACTGGTATCTACATCAAAGCACAGTGTAACATTGACTCTATCACTGAGTGTCCACTTCATTATTATTCGGTAACAGCCTCAACAGATTTAGAAAAGGTTGAGCCTCCCCATGCATATGAGCAAATATAGGCTACATATTCGTCAATAAAGAGCATGCTACGGTTTTATTCACTCTAATAATCCCATGCAGTATATATAAGCAATCTCATATTCGATGCTTAATGTTGTTCGTTTACAGTTATTGTGCAAACTGCGAGCTGTGAGGAGCCGCTGAAGGTAACGAACCTCCTCACTGAGCCCAGCATGCCGCAAGATCCCGGCATGCTTATCTCCAAACATCCTTCAAGACATCAACGGTCGTGCAAAAAACGTGATGTTTAATTCGAGACAATGCAATTGTAATTCATCCATTTTTGACAAATCTTACCATTATATGAATATTCTCCAAATTCAGTTTCTGCGCTGTGGATCCTCCGGGCTGATGAAAGGCTGCTCACTGCGCAGGGGACAGATCACCCCTCACGGGGCTGCGATGGTACAAGACTCCCCGGTGGCTCCAGGCAACACAACTTCCTGTTGAAATGCAGACTGGAATAATTGTTTTTGCGGACTTCTTACCGGAACAAAAGGCGAAAAGCTTGTTTTTGCAGGAAAATTTAGAGATGAATTCCGATTTGTGATAAATGTTGAATTATCACTGTAGATATTTCGAGCAATTCGGCTGCCCTGCGGATGGCTGCTCGCTTCGCCGTCCACACAAGAATGCACTGTGCATTTCAACTAACTCTCTCTCTGTCTGTCTCTCGCTCACACACACACACACACACACATACAATCACTCACACAGGCGCGTGAGGAAGCACAAATCCAATTTTGCATGATAGATGTGAGACATTAAGCGGTTATGTTGAATAAAGAATCCAGTAACACCAGATTTAACAAGGCAAATTATATTGATGTGATGTGGTGGAACATACAGGGTGTGTGTGTGTCTCTGTGTGTGTGTGTCTGCGCGTGCATGTGTGTGTGTGTGTTCCTGAGGTCATTGTAATGGGTCACCAGATTTAACAGAGATCAGGACCATGGACAGCGACCATCATCATTTTACTCACTCCCAGTGGGAAAAAATATGAAAATGTGACAATCAGGTGAGCTTCTGGGTAACATCTAAAATCAGTATATTCTGCCATGGTTCCTTACAGGCAAATCTGAAAGAAGACTTCAAACAATGTGGGAAATTCAACTTTATTTTTGTTTGTGACAACTTAAAGGTAATGCCTCAGTCACTGATTAAAGTGATTGTTATCAAAACAATGTGAATCAAATACTACCAGCTAATTGAGATTTTGGACCAGCTTGTTAAAGACAGTGGGCTTGGACTGATCAGGTTTTGTGTAAAACTGAAGGCAACAACCTAAATTCCTTTGAGGAGAGACTGTTCACAAGTACTGTGTGCCAGATTGGTACGATTCCTCACCTTGCAACAATAACACTGCTAAAGACACAGAGTTCTTGGATAGGGATCAGGGAGGCAGTGGGATGCAGTGAGAAAGAGGCTATGATGATGTTTGAGTTTGCCCATTTCTGAACAGGCAGAATAACTTTGCCTTTAGACGTGGCTGTGCAACATGTCGTACAACCTAGTGCATTTAAAGGGGTAATATGTAGTTTTCAGCGGTGCGCTCGTACGCATGCTCGAACTCATGAGCGATCAAAAGGCAACTGAGAGAGCAAAACACCTGGAGACAGCTGCACACAACATGCTGGAAACTCAAGTAAACTGTAACCTTACAGTCATGTTTTTATCAGCTTGAGGTTGAAGTAATCCATGTTCGTTATATGATAACATTGACTGCATTTAGCCAACATGATATGGCTGCGTTAGATCGCCTGCTGCATGCTTTTCAGTAACTATCGTTATTTTTTTTATCTTTCACAAGAGGCTCACAAATGTCAACACAGCTAAATGTATTGGATGATAAGAAACGGTTAGTGAGCTAGACTGAATATTGTAAAGGAGATTATTGCCACACTTTATAACAGTTAGACTGCATTAAGTAACGTTACTGTAGTGAATGGGTCTTCTACTGTGGTTATGTTAGATTATTGTATATTATGTGGATCACGTAAATTACAGTGACTGAGACTTGTGGATAAGCTGTGGAACTGAGTATAGGTAAAACAACAATAAATCTAAATTGAACATTACCAAGCAAACAGAGGCAGATCTGTGCTAATGATAGCTGGCTGCTCCTGCCTTGCATCATTATAGGATAGTATAAACAAACTGCTATCCATTTGCTTGCAGGCAAAAATCAACAAATTGACATCATACCGGTGGTACACAGGATAGTAATATGGGTCGCGTTAGCTGGTGAATTAATATGGAAAGCGATTCAACTGTAGTATTTTGCTCCGGGATGATGTTAGCAACTGCTCGGCGAGCTAACGTCATCTAACTTGAACCAACTAAAGCACAAAATCACAATATGTTTCACATGCTTTGCAGCATGCTGGGAGTCGGTTGCTTTGTGGTGTAAGTGGGTTGCATTTTGTTAGCTGCCATGTTGTTGCTGTTGCCATAGTGAGGCTCAGGAGCTGCATCCTGACCCAATAAGAAAATAGTGGCTGTTGCAAGCAACAGAGAAAACAGGCATGATTTCACTTCTAAGTGAGGTTACAGCCCATTGACAAATGGGAAGTAAAAAATTTATTTAATAATAAGTGACCTTGAAAAACTACACTTAGCCCCTTTAAAGCTTAGTGCGCTGTTTAGACAGTGCTCCCCACTACCATCGTCAAATGAGGGAATTTTGGAAGAATGGTCTCAAGTACAGTTCTGTGGTAAAACTATTGACAAGTAGCACTGAACTCTTCTGAAGAACATCTTACTTCAACACTTTTACTTTAATTTGTATTTCACATTTGAATATCACAATCAATGTCTGATCCAATCTTCTAAATGTGTTTGTGTATGTGTTGGGGAATCTAAGTGACTTACTATTACTATAACAGTTGTCATGGTGCATGAACTAAAAGAGAAGGAGGAAGATGAGGACTGTAGATAAGCGGCTCTAAAAATAAATTCTCTCTCTTACTCGGTTGCTCTCTGTGATTGATGTAAAACTCCGCTTATCTGCAGCAGAATGAAAAACAAGCCTATTTTCAATGCTCTATGTTCTTCTGCTAGAAGATGGAACAAAAGAGGTGGCAGAGTTGCAACAGGGTTATAGAATAAGAGGTGTGCTATTTTATCCATTTGCACTGTTAGAGAAATGGAGGTGAAATGTCACTAAGTGCACCACATTTTACTTGTTTTGTCCACTTCCGCCAATTTTCTAACGGAGATCCTCTACAGCACTAAAAATCCTAATATGGATCTGATTTCTATTATCTCACCCTCATGCTGAAAGTCAGTGTGTTTCATTCCACTTGTATTCCCCATCCTGCCATCATCCAGCCCTCCCACACAGTGTGTAGTGGTGACTCAGGCACCTCGAGTCTGCCTTCATCTTCCACCCTGAGCTGCAGAGAGGAACAAATCTTCACTTTTTTACTTTGCTTCATTCTCAGATCACTGTATCTTTCATGAGTAGCGCGCACACACACACACACACACATATGTACTAACACACAGGCTGCGCTGAAGTAATCGTGATCAGGATTTTAGTGGTTCACTTGACGCAGTGACATCATCACTAATTGATCCTCTTTTGAATTCTGACAAGGAAATAATATGCTGCTATATGGGGTTGCCATAGCAACTGGCCCATTTCAATGCGAGGGGATGTGGAGTGCTGCTGGAAGCTGGGGGGTAATTGGGGATGTTGGGATGGGAATGTGGTTGAGGATGTGTGTGAAGGGGGGGGTTGTGAGCTGCGTGAAAGGAAAGAAAGAAAGAGTTAAGAGAAAGAAAATGGCATCAATGCATCCAGAGCATTTGGATGAAAACACTTGCATAGAAATGACAAAACTCACACACAGTCTATGAAAATATAAAGAGCAGAGGGGCGGAGCTCTGATTTGCACAAGGAAAAAAATCAATTATGCCGATGATGGAATTAGAGAATGTGAGCTATTGAGAGTTGGATCAATCACAAATCTCACCTCAACTGCAAGCTATTGACCTGTTACGTCTGCACAGATCTATAGGTCACAGATATTTCTACAGCACAGCCGAATAAAGAAAAAACACGTTGCATTCCTAATCGATTGATGTTCATTGCTGTGACGGGCAGACTGAACGTCCAGAATCAACAGAGTCACTGTTATATCAATAGATTATTTCAACACCATCTCACCATCTCTGTTGTAGCGTTTGGCAGATTTACACACTATGTGCCATTAAGGAGGTATTTAGTTGCTAATCATTTTGCAACATGGTTACGCAAAGGTCATGAAAAACATAATTTCCTTCATTGAAAATCTATTCATTGATCTCAACTCAACTTCAACCCTTTGGTTTCAGCTCAATTACTTTCAGCTCGGTTTCATTTTTTTTTAAGATGGCCAGACACTGAATGTTTTTAATGCTCTTCTGCATGGCTAAAACATATGACATCTATGCTTACACCATGCCATTACATGTAAACACAACCCAAAAGTATACCAACTTCATCAAATTTGCTGAACTGTCTCAATGTTTACATACAGAAAGATTTTTTTATGTAACAAGGTGAAGTCTGAACAGATAGTTTTGAGTCTGCAACGGAAGATGTGCAGAGGTTCTTCTGTCCTGAGATAAGTTTTAATTTAATGCAATTTTGCCTTAATTTGGGATGCCGGGATTCGAATCATGGACGTTGCAATTATGAGATATGCGGCTCAACCATTACGCTACCAAGGCACACTGAAGGATGAAATGGTTTGAAATGGATACCATTGTGTAAAATAAATCAAAATATTACTTCTGAGTGTTATATGAAACTTAATAAAATTTGCAACAACCGATTAAAGCCACTCTTAAACACAAGACACTGCAAGACAGTCAACCAAAATGATTTGAAATCAATTTTAGTTCAAACAAAAACATAGAAATTCAGCCTGATTGTAAATTAGTTGTGGGAGGTAATTTTCTTGCAGTGTCTGCCAAGCTTTACCCACTTCATTCTTTTCAGGTGGCAGGAGGCTGGAGTCTTTCCCAGAATGCACTGGGCAGAAGGTAGAGGTAAACCAACCTGACCATTGCAGGGTCAGTGCATTCAATATGCTTTATTGGCACATAAAGGCAAAGAATGTCTAAACAAAATATACTAAGGATAAAATGCATTGTAGTAATTAGTGGCTTAACAATCAACATTTTTTCTAACTGCTGCGTCTCCCATTGTTTATATGTGATCTGTAGGCCTAATGCTGTGAATGAAAGTGGACTGAGTAGCCGCGCTGTCAGGAAGATAAATGCTGGCAGAGACAGCCACTCTGAATGCTCGGGAATGTAAATATAACGCAACTCCCTCTCTCCGCCAGCAGGTCCTCCTCATCATGATGTAGCAATGACAGCAATTGAAATCACCATGGCAACAGAACGTCTACCTGAAAGCAAGGCTGTGGAGAAGCTGGAGGAGGAGGGATGGAGAGACAGAGGGAGAGAGAATGAAAAAGAGGGCTGGGGCCTCTCATAATGCAGCATGATTTATGAAGTCTGGGAAGGAACATTTACAACACGTCCAGTTCACACACTGAAAGAAAAGGACCCGAGGCATAAAAGGCCAGGCAGCCATTCAGCCAGTAGATTCATTCTCTCTCTTTGACCCTTTCTTTCGGCCAC